GCCAGAGTGTCCGCCGTCTCATTGGCCCTTATGCCAGCGTGCCCCGGGTACCCACATTAACGATACCGGATGCCTCGCTGCGAGGCAATCCTGAGCCTCCATGCATTGCAATACAAGACTCGAAGTAATCATACAGGCACTTAGTGCCTTCATTGCAGCCTGGCTGTTGGATAAGATTGTTATTCTTCTCCTAGGCCTACTCTCCTCCAGAATGCGAGATACACAAGCCAGAATCGCAAAGATTTCCGCCTGGAAAATAGTGGTGTATCCACCGAGAGGCAGATATAGCCTAGTTCTAGGCCCAGAGACCTCCTCGCCTGAGCCCTCTTTGGTGACCGAGCCGTCCTGCCCGCTCACTCCGGAGAGTCTCCGGATACTGGCGTCCCACTCTTCCCTCGTTGGATACTCCACATTAAACTTGCGGTTGAAGCGATATTTAGGAGTAATAAGATCACCCCTGCTTAGAAGGACGGTGTCCTCCCTTTGCAATTCGACTAAGAGGGCAGTATGCCCCTTGACAGGATTGAAGAAGGCCCAGCTATCCTGACGCCAGTCGATGAGCGACTACTCTCGCTTCACCCCGGATAACTAGATCCAGCGGTGGGAGATCCAACAGAGGGAGCTTCCATTGCACTCAATGGCGTTGTTCGCACTACGCTTGTAATGCTAATACAGGCCAAACGCTGAATTTTATTGAGTTTGGCCGTAGTTGCCTCAGTTCTAACGCAAGGCCACCACACCAGGGAGTCGTACAAGAGAGATGAACGTACTGTCGTCGTGTAGAGCCAGTATACCAATTTGGGTACAGCATGAGGAAATCCCAGTGCATGTCCTGTGCCATTTTGGAGGCCTGACAAAGCTACGGCTTCAGATAGTAGGAACCCCACGTCCAAAAGCGGAAAGCTGCATGCAAGGTCCTGTGTCAAGACTGTGGAGTCTGATTAATACAAATTTAATAGATCAAGACTGGACACAGTGCTTTAGAAAGTATATATGGGGGTCACAATAGATCCATTAGGGTCGGAGTGACGTTAAGGCTGGCAAGGCAACCCCTTTCTTCTGTAATCTGTTATCGCATGCTAGTTCCTTCTACCTAGTCCAGATCCTTTTATGACTGTAATGATACGCACTTTTTCGTGCGGTTGCAGAAAAATACATTTTAAGAACTCCGCGTACGAACCGTTGCACTACTCGTCTCTTCTGTCCCAATTTTTTTCCATGAACCAGCCTTTTTGTCCCACAAACCCGACCTATCCAGCCGTAGCGTAGTACGATGACGTTCCAAAAAAATGCCGGTGTAAAAAATGTTTTGAATGGGCCTACTACAACCCCCACCCTATGTCTCCGACGTCAGTCTACGCCTACTACAACCTACAACACTCCGTGGCGTCGTGACGGCCGACGCTGGGCGTCGAAATTCCAATTAGCGGTCCGCTGAACGTAGAAAAGCGTCTCTCGTTTTAATTACACAGCCGTTTGCTGGGCGGCTCGCAGAAGGGCGCATGGCGACGTTGCCACGTTTTCCCGTGGTGTTATCCAGGCTTCACTAATGGGTTTTTTCACGGTTTTTGACGGTTACGTCACAGTGTCAGGTGATATAAGTAAATATTGTTAGGCCAAGAAATAGGAAAATTTTGTATAAAGGAATGATACAATATTTGCAACTGTTGGATACGCGAAACCCCTTCACAACGCCAATGACGATTATATGTAGTAACCGAATCTAGAGTTTTCTCTAAGGAACGCCGTGGAAGTGACCTCAACAAAAAAAGGGGATGCGACCTGTCACGATGACAGTTGAAATTAGATTTCAGTCATCGCCGGTTAACTTCTTAAGACAGTGGGGTACGTGTTACCCAATTAGACCATTTAAGAGGTTCCCTAGACGATTAAACGTATTCTTCTACGATAGCCTTGACCCGTGAAACGACGTCAGTGGGCGAGACGAGAAGTACTTAGACGTATACTTCCTTCTGCGTATTCTAATTGTACTTACCTGGCATATTGCACTTACCTGGCATATTGCACTTACCTGTGTGTGTTGCAGATCCGCCAACATTGTAGATTATACCGACGGTCCTACTATTTACCTGTACTAGTACGTTAATAGGGAGGAGTCGGGTTTTATCAAATTTTTATTACTGCGAGAAAAAAATAAAAAAGTCATTGAAACACACTTTGTGATGTATGAAAATAACGATCATGTTTTTATGAAAGCAATCGACGTTTTGATTTACCTAGTAGACATCAAGGTAAAATGCAAAATAAACACCCTAACGGCCTTATTATTTGGTGAATGAAAATGTTTTAAAGTGGCAACCGCATGTTAATTATGTACCGAGTAGGGTTAGAAAATTGATCCATAAATTTTATCTACTGTGAGAGTTTCTTTATAAAAAAATTAATAACAGTTTATAATGCATTTGTTGAATCTATAAATAGATATGGGATATTAGTATGGGGGAATTGTATAATAATGCCCTACATAAACTCATTATTTAGAAATAATATAATTCAAATTATTTTTAAGAAATATAAAAGATTCCACACTAACAAACTTTTTACAAAGGATGTGTGTAATATTAGAATCTTGTATCAGTATCTACTTTTATTTATAGAAATGAGAAGTTACAGAAACAAGTAAGTCATAACTATGGTGCACATGTAGGCCGACAAATAGAAATTCCCAAGAATAATAGTAACTTAAACTTAAGATACATAACGTATATAGGGCCAAAGATATATAACATTCTGCCAGAACACTTGAAAAAGATGAAAAATATTATAATATGTAACACCATCTGCAGAGAATATATTTTTAAGAAGGCTGCACAATTTAAAAGGTTCTTTTGATGGTGTTTTTGTATCATAGTATGATTTATTGTTTGGGATGTTGGAGTTGATTCTTGTTTTTCATAATTTAATATATTGGATTTTTTTTCTTTTGTAAAACCGGATGATGAAAGTACATACAGATGGTTTGAACCACCTAGGTGCATCTTCCTGTCATCGGGGTGTTATTGATGAAGAGGGACTATATTGTTGTTTTTATTGTTGTTTTTTGTTGTTGATATTTTGCAGTACCTAATATTTTGCAGTAGATAATCAATAATGAACAAAAAAATAAAAATAAATAAAATAAGTTCGTATTATTTGAGGCAAATATTGCAAATCAGTGAAAACTTGGAACTCGACAGCCCCGCGTAACCTCAAATGCGCTAGCGGCGCACTTTCCGCGCGCCGTGGCCCTTAGGAGCAAATTTTAGAATAAAAAGACAGCTGCTACGCATGGGAACGCTAATATGTAAGCATAAATAAATACATATTTTCTTTCTGGTCATTTACGTTGCAGCTAGACATTTAAACCTACCTCACTAATGCCAAAAAAGTGCTTAGATTGACGTACCTCTATACACTTTTTCTCGAGCCTCTGTACACTTCTTACGGCAATTGCAATCACAGAACCACAAATATAGACCTAAAGTAGCATTTTATGTGTTTTGTGGTAGCATTTTATATTCAAAACAACATTATTTATCAAGTTAATTCCGTAACTCAATCGTTTCTAAGTCCACACAAAGTATGTTTCAACAATTTTTTAAATTTTCCTCCTAGTAATAAAAATTCGACAAAACCCGACTTGAGCCTGTAAATATACTTACCTGTGATTACTCAACTCAGTCCTTGCCCCTAGACAACCAAAACAAGGGCTCGTTAGATATTAGATTACGAGTATTGCTTCCTAATGATCAGTTCAAATTCTAGGCATGATAGGGCTGGAGCATTTGCCGCCATTTTGATAAACGCATTTGATCGAAAACCGTAGTTCCTATGTGAAAAAGTAATAATACAAACATTTACGGGAAATTAATACATTTAATGATAGTTTTGCTTAAAATGGCTAAACTAAGAATCTATGAGTATAAAACACTTTTTCGTACAAAAAATAATTTAATTCTCTACAAAATTGTTTCAATTACTTTTTTACGTAGGATCGATGGTGTTCGAGATTTTCGATCAATGGTCCAGCCCTATCATAACTTCAATTTGAATTTACCATTAGTAGGCAATATAAACTAACGATACGATGAAAAAAATCACTGTTGTAATAATTGTAGGAAAAAATTACATATTTTCTTGCCTAAATGTGCAGAGCCCTGAGGGACATTGCACACTGCGAAAGCCGATCTGTAACGCAGCTGCTACTGGCTCTTGCACACACACATGATAGAGGACCGTTGTTTTCATTCATTTTCTGAAAATAATACAAACTATCGACAGTGTAGTTGTATCTAAAGGCATTGCTATATATCATATGGAATATCAGCAAAAGGTAAAAAATTGCTCGTGACAAGCATGAATGTGAAAGTCTCATACGCTGACGAGAAAAGATCGTGAGACTAAATTAAAAAACGTAAGTCTGTGAACTTACACAATTATTCAGACAGTTTGCATATGTATGAGTGAATAAAATGGATATATAAAACATATTCCTGAAGATATATCGTGACTCGTCAAAAATCGTTAAAAGAACAACACACTCGGGCAAATTATATTGCGCAACACTTCCCTATGTTAGGGAAAATCGGAGCATTTGAAAACCGTGCACCATGCAGTAGCCAGAATTCAATTAGCGGTCCCTCGAGCGGCGAATAGCGTCTCTCGTTTCAGTTATACAGCGTTTGCGGGGCGGGTGTCAGAAAGGTGCATGGCAACGTTGCCACTTCAACACTTGATAATAACTATACATTTGAGCAAACGCCACCACTAATTCCCAGTATAAGGGAAAATTGGAGTAGTTTGTAACCACACACTGCTGCAGTTGAAACTTAAAAAAGTTATAGACCTCGGTACGCGTTTGAACAAATTACGAGTATATTGCAGAACGATTTTCTTGTGTTAGGGAAAATTTTAGTAGTTGGCAACCCCGCACACTGCATTATCATTTTATAAAAAGTTATAAGATATTGAATGGAACTGAGCAAATTTTGTTCACCAAAATGGTCCTAGAATTTGCAGCGCTTATTGTGGCTGCAAACGCTGTCGAACTAGTTTATCACCTTATATGCGACGTTCAAAAACTGTCGCTTCGTTCACCAGGCGGTACTATATTGTTTTACAACTGTAATGTTATATGAGAAGCTCAAAATCAGTTAATGAGTTTTCACCACATATTTGACAGTTGACAGTAGCGAGTGCATCTTAAATTGAAATGATGGCTTCCTGCGATTTCGGCGTAGTCCAGGACCGAACGCTGTTGTTGCAACACGCTGTATAGTAGCGGAAAAAACAAATGACCTGTCACCTGGAAGACACATAAAACATAAAATTTGTTAGTCATTTTGATCTGTACTTTGAAAAACCTCACCATAGTAGCCGAAACGTATGTAAATAGTAATTCCTAAATGCTTGGTTTCATTTGACTAGTAAAACTTGGAGCTCTATCAGTAATTACTGTTAGAAACTGTTAAAATGCGTGAATTAATACAATTATCAGGAATTTTATTAAACCAAATTCAACTAAAGAGGCAGTAAGCAGATCGGCCAGAGCCGTAAACTGGGCCAGGCAACTGCGCAGGTGCAGCGCGCTGATTGGCCGATTGGCAATGATAGACGCAGTAGCACAACCTCAGTAATAAAAAGGACAGGTCGAGATCGGTGCTTCACTTGTCTGTACGCCATCGATATAGCGTGCGAAGTAGTTTTGTTGCTGTGCCAGTAATAGTTATTTTGATTGTCGTTTCTGTTCTACTTTTGCTACTCGCTCGTGTTCGAAGTATTCCGACCGGATAACATTGAATATATCCAGTACAGTAGCTGCTAATGAACCCATGCACCTGACTTTAAGTCCGCCCAGGAAGAAGTTACTTCGACGTGGGACTCGAGGAAGTTATTCTGAGCGTATATAAATACGAAACGCAGAAAAATACAGGGGCTGCTATTGACAGCATCGTGGGCGAGGTTGCGGTAAAAATAGGTGTATCCAAGCGGAGCGTTTATAGAGTTCTGCGTGAGTATAAGTTGCTGCACTTTCGACAAACGAAAACCGCAAGAGCTGGGCTGATTTTGTAGATAGTGACGATAAAACCGCAATTAGAAGAAAAGTCCATGGATTCTTCTTCACAGCAGAAAACCCCACCACTGATGAACTGCTTCAAGAGGTTAATGACGACAATGCTTTACCCAACTTCAAGCGAACAACTTCTTATAAGCTGCTGAAGCACATTAACTTTGTTTTCGAAAAACGAGGATGTCAAAATATCCTTTTGGGTAGAGATGACATCGTCTTATTGGACGAGATTACCTCAGAAAAATGAAGTCTTTCAGGGTCGAAAAAAGAACAGTATATTATTTGGATGGAACTTGGATCAACGCTGGACATACGAGCTCTAAGGTTTGGGTAGACACCACTGTAACATCATCTCGACAGGATGTCCTGGAGGCACTGTCTACCGGGTTGAGAAATCCTCCAGGAAAAGGGAAAAGGCTAATCGTGTGTCACATCGGCAGCGAAAATGAATTTGTTTCTGATGCCCTCTGGCCATTCGAATCTAAAAGAACGTCGGATTACCACGAAGAAGTGAATGGCCGGTCATTTGAGGAATGGTTCAACAATACTTTACCCAAGCTGAATAGCAACTGTGTTATTGTTCTTGACAACGCATCATACCATTCTCGAACACTAGAGAGTTCCGACAACTGCCTTCAGCAAAGCTGATATGCAAAATTGGCTGTGATTAAAAAACATTTAATTCGATGAATCCTTGTTGAAAGTGGAGTTGTTACAAATGATAAACCGCAACAATCAATATCAATCAATAACCTTTATTTCCATACAGACAATATATAATTGTATTGGAATTGTCAATTTTTCGTTCGCTACGAACCTACAACTAATCTCAAATTGCTATGTTCAAAAATTCATCAACACGATAAAAGCACTTGTTTATCAAAAATTCCTTCAACAGGAACTTAAAGGCGTTAATATTTTTAACCGAGGTAATGTGGCATGGTAAATTATTAAAAAGAAGCGGACCAATTTTATTAGGTGATCGAAATGCCGCTTTTGATTTGCTAAAGTTTACATATAAATTATTACAAGTCCTTGTATCATAATTATGCATATCACAATTTCGCTTGAATTTTTCATTATTTTTAAAAACATGTAAGCACAATTCATATATATACAACGAAGGGACAGTTAAAATGTTGAAAGTTATAAAATATTTCTTGCAACTTTCTGTTGGTGAGATGCCTGCTAATGATCGGATGCATCTTTTTTGAGACACAAATACATCTTCAGAGCGCGTTGACCAACCCCAGAAACATACTCCATATCTTAATCTCGAATCCACATTAGCAAAATAAACTTGTATCAATTGTTCAGCTGTTAAGATGGTTTTTAATTGCCTCAACACATAGCTTTGAGAGTACATTTTTGATGTGAGAAATTCGCAGTGGGCCTTCCAATTTAAGTTCGAATCAAAATGAACTCCAAGAAATTTCACTTCTCCTCTAAAATCGAGTTGATCGAAACCCAATCAAACTTGAAACCCTTCTACAGTTTTTTGAGCGTGATGAAAACGAATAAGCGTTGTTTTGGAAGGATTCAAGTAAAGTGAGTACTGGTTAAACCATGTATTGATATTCCTAATTAAGTTGTTACATTTATCTTTCAAAATTATATTTGAATTACTTGATATTATCGCAGAAACGTCATCAGCATATGCTGTAAAATGGGTATCTGGATGAACACTATCAAACCGATTAATGTATAAGAGGAAAAAGATTGGTCCAAGAATAGAGCCCTGAGGGACTCCAATCGAAATGTCTAACGTACTTGACACAAAGTTTTTCATATTAATATAAACCGCAACAAGTCACATTATACTAAATACATAATTGACGAAATGGCCAGGGAATCGAATAAACATGTAAAGGGTTGTCCAATATCAACACAATTTTTTATTTTAAGCAATAAAACAATGAATTTCAAATGTAATGAATATAACATATATTTTAATGAAAGATACATGTATGGTAATTTAAGTAAATTATGTGTGAAAAATAATAACTTGCAAATATTCTTTTGTTAAAATTCTTGATGATACGGACAGATAATTTGCGGCTCTATTTTAGCGATTACATGGGTTATTTCTTCTTTCAATGCATCGATTGTCTGGGGATTGTTGCAGTAGATTTTACTTTCAACATAGCTCCAAAGGAAAAAGTCCAACGGAGTCAAATCGCACTAACGAGCAGGCCAGTTAACATTCTGGAGATAACTTTACCATTAAACTTCTGCTCCACTAACTGGATTGTGTCTCGTGATGTGTGATAGGTTGCTCCATACAGTTGAAACCAAATTTCTTGGGCATCAATATTTCTCAGTTCAGGCCACAAAGAATCTTGTAACATTCGTCGGTATGGAAGACCATTCACAGTAACAGCATGACCAGCGTTCTCTTCGAAGAAGTAAGGGCCAATCACTCCAAAGACCACACCAAACAGTGACTTTTGGTGGGTGTAAACCTTGTTCAACAACCACTCTTGGATTTTCCTCACGCTAAGTCGCACAATTTTGTTTGTTTACATACCCATTAAGTTGGAAATGTGCTTCGTCGCTAAAGATGAATTTTTGGAAAATCCTTCTTCCTGTTGCTCAATGAAATTAAAGAATTCACGACGTTTTGCATAGTCGGTGGGCTTCAATTCTTGTGTCAATTGGATCTTAAATGCTTTTATCGCCAAATCCTTGTGCAAAATACGCCAAACAGTGGTTTGTGGAATATGCACCTGTTGTGAACACTCTCACGAACTGCAGCAATATTCACTTGTAAGCGGCCTGGGCGTGGACGAATCGGTGTTTTTACGTCTAAACTGAACCAGTCTCTTCAAATTTCCTCACTATTCTCGATCTTGTTGACTCATTTGGACGATCATGCCGTTGATGAAACACATGTAATTTACGAAAAACATTTTTATTTGAACGTCCATTTTCATGAGAAACTTGAATTATCACACGTTGTTCCACGCTGTACGTATCCATTTTATAAATTGCCTACGATAGTAGTTTACAAATGTGAATAATTCTACTGTCAAACGTAACCTAGACAACCTCACTAAAAATTGCGCTTCTAGTGGAAAACCCAATATTAAGAACTCAATCCAATCGAGCTGATTTGGGCGGATACAAAAAACTATTTTTAATTACGCGGCTCTGACGGGTTAAGCATGCGTACCGCCTTTTCGCTCGAAGTCGAGTGCCTCCTCAGTGTCCTCGCTCCGACGACGCGACGCCTCGAAAGGGTTCCAAAATCCTCTTTTTACCAGCTTTTCTTGAAAATAAAGAAAACATATACCAGATATAAACTACTTGAAACAACAAACAACGCTTAGAAATCTTATATGACTTTTACATCGATTTGTGGAAATACCGACTTAAATTTTCAACGTCTGACAGAATAGTGAGGCTTAGTGAAATTCTCATAAGATTCGGCAACAGCTTAAACGGCTGGCAGAGTGCTCGCGTATGCGGCGGCCGGGCATTGCGTTGTCTGAGTGGGCGTGGCGGCGACGAGTGACGTCACTCATTGACTATGGGCGCCTCGCCGCTGGCAGCCAGACGGCGGATATCGACCGACGCCCGACGCGTCTAACGCCGCCGTCGAGGTCAATACTCGCCCCCTCCTCCAAACCCGGCCGCCAGCAGTAACCCACGGCTGTAGCCTCCCAGCCTGAGCCCCCCAAACCGATGTTGCGCTGGCTGGCTCATGCCTGGTGATAGGAGACGACGGGGGTACGATAGACTTTTGCTCATAATTTATTGTTTTTTACTTCCTATGCCACTGGCCGAGAAAGTATTGTAATCTGGAAAAATTTTGAAAATAATAAATTCGCCTTTATTGAGTACATACAGATCTAACACCAGTGGCGAAGTTTAGCCGTGGGCTATTCTTACTCTTAACCACTAGGGCGGGAAGGTATACAAGGTATGTACTCGTATACGATGGGAAGAAGAAAAAAAAAGACAAAATTACAGGTAACCTACATTACATCAATACCAAGGTAGACCATGGCAAAAATTCTGAATTGTTACACACCTAAAGAAAAAAAAAGGAATGCATATGTCAAATCATGACTGTGTAGTGTGTTCCACTATGACTCATTAATAATAAACCTTTAAAATCCCCTAAATTGGCTTAAGGACATGACTTTAGATGTTGTTATAAATACTAGCATTGTAGGTTAAACGGCGCTGGAATAAAGATGAATTTTGGTGGGGAATAGTGATTGTGCTTCTATTATGTGCACTACTGCTAAGAATTAACTTCTCTCTAAGATATAGAGGTTCAGATGTAAGCATTATCTGTGGATCGAAATAAGATAATTAATCAGTAGGACATTTTCAACCAGCACAAAGAAGAAAACTTATTTGAGATATGATCAAAACAACTTAGACCAAAGATAAATCTTACGCAAATGTTCTGAACAACCTGCAGTCTGTTCTTAGCTACGCCATCGAGGCGCGGATGAAATAAAATATTACAGTAGGTAAGAACTGGTGTTACAAGTGACTCGCAAAGTTTTTTTCCTCAATTTGAAGTTAAGGATAAACTTGTTAGCACACAAAGCACGGAGTCGCGGGTATGCTTTCTATAGGAGATTCTTTACGAGGTCTCAGAACTTAAGTCTCCGGTCGATAGTAACTCGTAATATTTTTGTACACGGAGAGTTTATTTTTTAACTGCGCCAATCTTTACCGGTAACAATGATGCGACAGTCTCCCATCTAGGCTCAGAGCAGAAAAGCATTGCATTAGACAATGAAATATTGTTTTTTGGATGTTATATGACATGTACATCAGGAAAATAAGGTAGGGAAGACATTTTTAGATAGCAACGTTGTTAAATGGGTGGGACATATGGAAGTAGGTAATAATTTGATCCATTTTTTTTATTGTACATGTTCGTAGCTAACTGATGACAGCTTTGCCTGGGAGTTCAGAGTCAACCTACTTAACTCCTGTGATCAGGGAACTCGAATCGAAAAAAGCACACTCACCAAAACCCCTTGATTTCTCTCTCTAAAAACTCTTTTTTCATGGACACGAGGAAACCCTTCATGGAGTGAAGAAGTTCGACACCAAAAATTTGGTTTGACTCAACAAAACCTCTCTACCCTGTCGATTCCCATGGACTCCTGATTTTTTATAAGGAAATTTTCTGTAACAAGAAAGCTCGGAATCAATAGTGCAGAGAGGTTCGCTAAAATTTCTCGGTCGCCCACTATGTTTCTTACGGTTGTAGTCTATCTCGCATTTTGTCGCTGTATTAGTCGAAAAAATAACTGAGTACACCCTCCCTGCCCTCTTCAATACTGAGGGAGCTCTTCATTTTTTCCATTGGCAAAGTAGGCTCCAAGGTTTCGCTCTGTCGGGGGCCTTTCAGGCACAGGCGTCAAGCATTAGACAATGAAATATTCATTTTTGGATGTTATATCACATGTACATCAGGAAAATAAGGTAGGGAAGACATTTTTAGATAGCAACGTTGTTAAATGGGTGGGACATATTGAAGTAGGTAATAATTTGATCCATTTTTTTTATTGTACATGTTAGTCGCTAACTGATGACAGCTTTGCCTGGGAAGTTCTGAGTCAACCTACTTAACTCCTGTGATCAGGGAACTCGAATCGAAAAAAGCACACTCACCAAAACCCCTTGATTTCTCTCTCTAAAAACTCTTTTTTCATGGACACGAGGAAACCCTTCATGGAGTGAAGAAGTTCGACACCAAAAATTTGGTTTGACTCACCAAAACCTCTCTACCCTGTCGATTCCCATGGACTCCTGATTTTTTATAAGGAAATTTTCTGTAACAAGAAAGCTCGGAATCAATAGTGCAGAGAGGTTCGCTAAAATTTCTCGGTCGCCCACTATGTTTCTTACGGTTTTTTTTTTTTTTATACGCCAACTACCACGAAGGCCTGAGGCCTAAGCACCCATTGGGTACCGTGGGGCTATGGGGGATACATGGGAAAGGGGGGACGCCACACGGACTCTGGCGAGGGAACACGTGTGCATGCAACATGCACACATTCTGGCTCCGCCTACGAGAACCGCCGGGTGGTACCTCCGCGTTCGACAGTCAGAGACCATCTACCACCTACGGACAATCACAACATCCATGGCCAAGAGAAACATTTCTCCTGGAGACGGGAATCGAACCCGCACAGCGCACGGCGACTGATCAGGAGACCGAAGAGTCTACTACTGCGGCCACCGCTGCTGGTTGTAGTCTATCTCGCATTTTGTCGCTGTATTAGTCGAAAAAATAACTGAGTGCACCCTCCCTGCCCTCTTCAATACTGAGGGAGCTCTTCATTATTTCCATTGGCAAAGTAGGCTCCAAGGTTTCGCTCTGTCGGGGGCCTTTCAGGCACAGGCGTCAAGCTCCTCTGTGCCCAGGAAGATACCGAATGAAATTTGTATAAAACAATTTTCTGATTTTTCTAGATGTTCTGAACAACGGCACTGTCTGCCTCGAACTGATAATATCATTTTCGAAAGTTTTCTAGTTCTTGTCGCTCGGTTCCCCTCTCAATAACTCCTGACAAAGTTAAGGAAACGTGTCTGGAAAAGTTTGGTATCAGCGCGTATACAATCCGTAAGAAATTTATGTATTTACAATTTCTGGGCGACGGAAGTAGTTTGTATTCAGTGCTATTCAAAAAAACATACTTTTGAATTCTGGTAATAAAAGCTGATCAAAAAGTCCTAGAACGGCAGGATATTTGGGGATATTCTAGGCATAAAAGTAAAATTGCAGTGGTTTAGGACTTTTACCCTAACTATTTAGTGGTCATCTTGTATTTGACCTTGACCATCACCTTGGATGTCAAATTAAAGTCAAGGCGATTTACATGGAGCGTATGTTTTTGAACGCAGAAATAGAACGGAAAATTACGTTCAGACATGACCTTAGATGAAAATTAATTTGATCTTGTACAAGGTCATCGTGAAACATCCTGCTTTGAAACGAATTCGGGGATATTTGTCAAGGTAAAGAAATAAGATATCTAAAATTAGGAGGTGCTCCAATTTTTCTCTACCTATTCTCTGGTGACATTGAAGCAGACCTTGACCATGACCTTGGAAGTCAAATCAGGGTAAAAGTAGTTTACGATTTATTTCTACAGTAAAAAGTACAGGGTAGCACAAACAATGATCTTGACGTTGATTTGACCTTTAAGATCAAGGTCATGGTCATTCTCAGTTCCTTTGTCACCAGTGGATAGTCAGGAAAAATTTCTAGCCCAACTGCCTTTAGGCTCTTATTTATGCTCTAGCTTCAGAAGCCTTTAAATCTTATCACACGCGTTTTTATGATAACCTAAACCAGGGTATTAAAGATCAAAATAATTTCCACCCAAGGTCATGTCTAAACAGTTTTCGCTCTATATATTCTTGGTGTACCATAAAGAAACTTACATTGAAATTGATGACGGTCGTGGTAAATGTCAGTTTTTTTGCTTTATTGCCAGAAAGACCTCGGGAGTCTTTTCGAACGAGGTTTTTTACGATGACCCTGACCAGGACGTCAACAAAGGCCATATTTGAACGTTGACTTTTAAGGTCATGGTCATAAACAATCTTAAACCTGTTTCACTTTTACGATACCCCTTGCATATTTCCAAATATCGTGCCGTCGCAAGACTCTTGGATCACCTAATACCAAACGAATTGTATTTACGATTGAGGTAGGTCGGGTTCAGTGTTATCGATTTATCGGTATTTCTACCGAAATGGGACATTTTTTACCCAAATACTGAAAACATCCGCATTTTCCACGATTTTTTAAATTAATTTAGATAGATATTTCCAGATTTCTTACCAAAAATAGCTGGAATAAAAAATACTAACAAATTGTTATTTTATGGGGACGTAGATTTAAGTTGCCCATAATTTATGTACGCACATCCCTTACTCCACTTTCCCTGTGTTGATTTTTGTGCGTACAAGTACAGACTGGTAGATCACCGTCATTACCACATTACCGGATAAGCAAGAAGGAAACCAAAGCTCATCTATTTTTAATTAAATGTCAAATTAAAATGTCAAGTGATGAAGCTTGAAGTTCGGGGATAAAGCAGATAAATATTCAGGATCTGATAAACAAAGATTAGAAAAGGAGTTTGCAAGATGGTTACAAAGGAGTTTGAAGGACGGCCAGTCTTATCATACATAATGTAATAAAGACGCTAATATTCTTATCAGAAAAAGTTTTCCATAGTCGACGCTGCGTGAGGCAAAGGCCCTTGATCCACCTCTGACAGCGAATTTTTCCTACTACCTATTTTGGCCTTGAATCTACTGAATTTTGACGACACTATCTACCGATTTCATCTTTCGGTTCGGCAACACTGGACGGGTTTTAATGTGTACGAATAAACATGCATACAACATGTATGTTAGGAGGAGTACGCCTCACCGTGTTCCTTGGCAACGACAGCAATGAAGGTCACAAGGCACTCCTTGTAGTATCTACTGGGACACCTTTCCACGTCACTAACTCCATTTTTTTTTGTTCCAGGTTACCTCCTGACTCGAGTAGAAGGTAAAATAGGCTCGCCCGAGAAACCTCTCAGCGACTTAGGACTAATTTCCTACCGCTCCTACTGGAAAGACGTCTTGTTGGGCTACCTTTGCTCCAGACCCGGCACGCAGCTTTCGGTCAAGGACATTAGCCAGGAAATGGCGATTCACTCTTACGATATAGTATCCACGCTTCAAGCGCTAGGAATGATGAAGTATTGGAAAGGGAAGCATATTATTCTCAAAAAACAGGATGTTTTGGACGAGTATGTTGAAAGGGTGAAAAAACGGGGGTCTCTGCTCAAGGAGGTTGATCCTAGTTGCTTGAGGTGGACGCCTCCTCAACCTGCGTCGGCTTGAAAGATTGTTCAAATCAACTAAGAGTCGCAGCATTGATTAACATATTCCGTCAGAAGCAGATACCGATAATCGGTCGACACTGATACATCAGGAGCCGATATATTGGCGTAAATGATCGTTTCTTTCTTTCCGTACACAATCAAATGTATTTGCGTTCAATGCCCGAACATATTCTACTTGAAGATAGATAACCTAATGCTATATTCGCGCGTCCAAAAAATTAATCGAGATAAAATGAGATACCGTCGATGAGAATTAGGTTCAGCTGTTTCTCTACTATACAGGCTATATGAACAGTTCCGGAACCCCACGATAATTTGTGAACTAATGAAAAAATTGAGTCCCGCGATTGATAGGAGTTTTCCCCAACTATCGAGTGGTGACCTTGAATTTTACCATGACAGTCAAGGTCATTTGAAGTCAAGCCAATTTTTTTTAAGGGGAACCGCCCATTTTTGGCTCCGTAAATGGAAAGAGCGGAGAATTTTACGTTCAAATATGATATTGCCCTTAGAAGATCAGGGTCAAACCCAAGTACGATTATATTACTTGAAAACCAGTAGTCATATAAGGAAACTACAAAGACATTATTTTCGGAGTTTTTCACGGATATTCAATGGCGAGCATTAACGATGCCGTTCAAGGAAACGTGAAGGTCAGGCTATTTTTGTAGCCAGGGACAATCCTGAAGGAACAGTGAAGTTAGTTTATTTAAGGATAATACAGTTTTCTGAATTATTTTGAAATAAAAGGTAAACTTGTGTATGACCTTGCTGGTTAAAAGTCCAAGGTCAAATTCCAAAAATGGTCAAGGAGATAAAACATAACATAAAATTTTTCCTTTTCTTCCATTCCGCGGTCAAAATCTCCCACTTAAAAGAAAGTTGTTATTCTTCAAATGATTTTGAAGGTCACGACCAAGGTCAGCTCCAACAACATCATTCGATATCCGAGGAAAAATCATGAAAATATTGTCTCGGTAGTTTCCCTAAACGACTACTGGCTTCCAAGTTATATCACCGTACCTGGGTTTGATCTCAACCAAGACCTTCTACGGTCACAATTCAAGAATATTCAAAATCATATTGGAACGTAAAATTTTGCGCTTTTTCCATTTAAAAAATTTAAAAACCGACTTGACTTTCAAATGTCCTTGAATGTCATGGTTAAGGTCAAATCCAAGGTAACCATGGGATAGCTGGGGGAATACGTCTATCAATCGAGGAACTTAGTTTTTTCCTACCACTAAATCTTCGTGGGGTTCCTTAACTTTTCAGACAGCCTGTATATACTGCATACGAGTATACTGAAAGGGTTAGTGTCTGACAGATGGCTCTGTAATCACCTGTATGTTCGTGTATGCTTATAAAGGTAGCGCCATCCATGAGACACTATCCTTTTCAAAGTGTAACGAAAACGCAGTTCTTATGTTACTTCCCACGTCTACTGGCGAAGATATGTTGTTTTTTTGATGTTATATGATATCAGCTAAAATATTTTCAGTGACAAAGAAAATAGAACACCCAGTAAAAATAGCTTTGATCGAATGAAGTTTTATATGCAGTTAGACAAAGAGGAACCTACTGATTAATGAGCAGATTTGATCATTTAATTCTTTGTGCGACGCACGGTTTTTGCGTCAAAAAATAAAATGTTCTCGACGATTTTTTTAACGAAAACCGTGTATCGAATTGAAAAAAGTCAAGCGAGCAATTTGCTTTCAACTGATTGGGGATCCCAAAAATAATTTTTATTTTGAAAAAATCAGTGACGTACCATAAATAGGCAGATGAAATTAAAGAAAATGTGGTACATTAAAAAGTGCTTCTAGATACATATTACATGTATACCTTTCTACAAAATATCTATAGTAGTATTACAGATATTAATAATAAATCATTAATTTTTTGAAACTTTACCACCCTGTATCTTTAAAAATTAAGACGTCTAAGACATACGTTCATGTGAAGTTTCCTTTTTAAAGTGGACCCAAAAATAAACCCTTTAGATATTGACATCGATTAGGAAATACCCTACCTATAGTCAACGCCAAACAAAGTGGCGTGCACGTCATCAAGGTGGGTGTGTTGAAAAATTTACATTGTTGCCAAACTTTTTGTAAAATAATAAAATTTATTATTTACATATCTAGGTTTATAAGCAATATTAACCTCAAATGAGAACAAAAATAATAGTATAATAAAATTATAGATCTGTACTTGCATAATCATTAAGTATGACAATTATTGATCAGATGACACTATGAAACTACCATATTTAATTGATAGCTTAAAGGTACTGAATAAAAATCCAAATGGGGTCCTCCAAATTTTATGCATGGTATTTATTTTACAGAATTCATACAGAAAAATGCATTCTAAAATTAGGTAAGCTACTGGTGTAAGCTTTTTCTGTACAATAAAGTTAGTCGGAGTTTCTTTCTTCAGCGCTGTCTGAATCTGAATCTTCATCACTCTCAAAGTTGATTATTAAAGGTTCGATGTCTGGTCGATCAAAAATTCGTTCTCTTTCATACCATTTAAAAATTTCTTGCTCAGTATGTCGAACACTATTTTTCCACATGTCTGGGGTAACCGTTTGTAGAGCCTCGTTCCACATATCCAAACAGTCTTTTTCACTGTTTCCATCTCTACCAATATGTCTGTTATAGTAACCTTTTGCTATGCCCCAAATTAACTCAATAGGGTTAAATATACAATGGTAAGGAGGCAGACGAAGAACTTTGTGCCCATGTTGTTCCGCCAATTCATCAATCACGTATATTTTAGGTGGTTTGTTTCTAAAAAAGCAGTTATTTTAAGAATAGGAATAAACAAAAGAAATATAAACTGTCGACCAAAATATATATAATTAAGAAGCATTATGTACCGAGCAACAATACTCAATAGCTCTGTTTTAAACATTGTGTTTAAAAATGGTATGTTTTGATTTGTCAACCAGTCTTGGATATTTTTTTTGTCCATGCATTGTTGGGCACTTTGTTCAATATCATGCTGTGATAAGGGGCGTTATCCAGTATAATCATAGATGGACTCTCCAATTTAATTCTAATAACTGATGTTGAAACCATTTCAAAAAATTGTCCTGGTTCATCTCTCCATGGTAATCGCTCAATTTTGTTTTCGAAGAAAATATCGCTTCACTACCCTCAATAAACCCATTTTCATTTCCAGCATGTAATATAATGTATCTAAAATATATTAGTTTTAAATTTTATAGTGCAAATTGTGTAAAAGTACATACCTTTTACCATCTGTTTTAATAGCTTTCACGCTTTTTTGGTTTCCATTTTGCCAAGAGCGACCTATGGTCCCATTTTGAAATATCCAAGTTTCATCGAGGAAGACAAACTGGTATAAGGCCTCAACCTTGGCTTGATTGTATTGCCTTAGAAATTCCACCCTTTTCAAAGCTATACTTGGTAGTTCCATGAGCCCTCGTCGCGGATTGTCCTTAAGCCACTTAAATCCAAGATCTCTAAGCAACCGCCTTAAAGACGTGGCACTACCATCAAATAATGCCCTATCTCTTAATCGAGACCATAAAGTTTGTATCGTAACTTGTTCTTCTGAAACCATGTGTAATATGACATTATAATTTAGTTAACAAATTAATGCAAATTTCTGATAAGTTATTATAATAAGATCTTACTTTTGTGATACATATTATAGATCACTTCTCGAATGGCACTTGTATCCAATGTCGCTGTGTTGGTTACACGTTTAATATAACTCCGCTTTTTCTTGGGCGATTCTAAATTTGCATCACTTTTCACACCCTCGGAAATACGACTAACTGTCCTTAAACTAATTTTTAAATCAGCAGCAACACGCTACAAAAAATGAAATAAAATTTCACTATTATTAATATACATTACATATAATTATTAGTAACCTACCTCTTGAACAGCATTTAAAGGCAACAAAGGCCCGTTGTTGTCCCTTTCTTGCTCAAAGTAGTGCATTAACGAGGCCACGAGTTCCTTACACCGACTATTTAACTGTTTGGGCATCTTTATATACCAAAATTGCCTTTATCTACTCGTAAAATGAATAATTTTGTTTTGAAACAAACAGTTGTTGATTTACAGTATGCGGGGCCAAAGGATTTATAAAGATTTGAAATGCCACAAATTGATTCAGTGTCAAAATTAATACAAATGTCAGTTCCCAGTTTAAATAAGTTTCAAGGTGACAATGTGTCAACGCTGCGAAATCGGTTTAGTGCGTTTACATGTCGATAAGTGATTGGAGCGTTTGCAAAACATTTTATTTCGCATAATGCGTCTAAATTTATCAGAAAGCAACTTATGTGATATTTTAATAACAATGTTTATATGACTATTAACCATAATAAGAGAGTAATGACCATTTTACAATTTATATATCACATTAATATGAAACTGCAATAGAGCAATTGTTTGTGATAGAAACCTAGGCATTAGGTCGGGGAATTTTTATCGTGATGACGTGCACGCCACTTTGTTTGGCGTTGACTATATGTTCATACGAACCTTTCAAGAAATTTACTTGCTTGCAGTACAGCGAAATTTACCCAATCTTATTTATAAGGTCGGAGCACAAAATACTAGCAAGATCCGGATTATTGATTGGAATTCATAGGAATATTGTAGACGACAATTATATTATATTCGTTAACATTGTTTCTGCTTCCTTGTGTTACCGACCCGCCTTATAGTACGGTTATTATATGATACGGTATAAATAATAATGGAATCTGGTTCATCTGTATAAATTATACATTTGAGCAATGTGCAATTACCTAAAAAGCTCTAATAGTAAGATACAATTGGTTTGAATGTAACGAATCTAAAAAATATCATTGTTTCGCTACTGCCATAGCAACAAGTTCACACGAAGACCTGGACCGGTATTCTCGTTCTCCAAAACGCTAAGCGTTTTCCAGTCGCTCAGCGAATATGACGTCATTTTCGACGCACTTGCCAAAATATGGTATTCCCGTTGCCCGAACGCTCAGCTTTTTGAAAAGCGCTTGTCGCTTTCAAAACGACTACCAAGTGGTCGGTGTTTTGCTTATCGCTTTCGTGATGAGTACTGACATTGCTGACAGAATTATTATTTAGATCGTGATTTTGGTTGTAATTGAGGCTACTGTGGTCCTCATATTTAGATAATTATATCCAAAGTATACCTAGTAATGGCATATCAGTTTGCTGGGGTTAATTTAATCCGAATTATTGAGCATGTCGAGAGGCAAAGATTCAATGCTGATGATCCGTTCGAATTCTCTGACTTTAATTTTGTGAAATTATATCGACTGCGAAAACAGGACGTGCTAAATTTGGAAGAATTGTTACAGCCATTTTTACCAGTACATCCTAGATCGCACGCGATAAGTAATCGCGCGAAGGTAAGTAACAATAATAATGAAGTACTTGTACTTCCAAGATTGATAAAAAATCTTATATATACGATTGATAAAATAGTTATTACGTACGTAAAGTAAATATATAGTCGAGGTGATATTCCTATAAAACCTAGTTTCCAATCGACACGAATAATAGGACACAGTACAATATTTCGTTGTAACGTTACTTATCGATACAATACAAGAAACGAAGATGCCGAATTATTTCGAATGTTGTAAAACCAAAGAGCTATCCAACTACGTGTGCATAACATGTAAACAAATTTTTCATCGCAGTTGCTGCAACAAACGAAATGACGTAATTGTCATTGCATATGCATATGATATACTGTAGTAAATGGAGAAGGATAACACCACCAAAGAAATAATAAGAGAATTACAACAAGAGATTATAAAGAAGGATAAATATACTAAGTGACATATAAATCCGAACACTCAGTTTAAATGGTTTTATTTTAATAAAATTTTGTATAAGTACTTAATGAAGCATAATAAGTAAATGATAAAAATTTCAAAATGATTGCACTGCTTTAAAGCGCTTTGACCTTTAATAATGTGTGGATGCACCCTGATGTGCTTCGCATTCTCCAACCCGCCTAGACATGCTTCTGATCAGGTGGTCAATGTCCTCCTGTGGTATCTCTTTCCAGGCAACCACCAACTCCTCTCGAAGTGCTTCTAGAGTCTGAGGAGGACGTTGCAAACTTCGTGGATATAACGCTGCGCGTTCATGTTACCTCTGATGAAGATTAAAGGTGACCTGGAACCATAAGCTATAGCACCCCAAACCATAACTCCAACAGTGTGATGAACATGTCTTTCAACAAAAAACTGTGGATTCCTCCTTTCACCACGTCCCCTTCTAACCCTGGCACGACCATCGTGCATGCCTAAACAAAATCGAGACTCGTCACTAAAGACAATACTGTTCCATTCCTGATCCCAGAGTGACCGTTGTCTGCACCACTCAAGGCGATTACGTCGGTGTAAGGGTTATAAGGCGACGTGGTGAAAGGAGGAATCCACAGTTTTTTGTTGAAAGACATGTTCATCACACTGTTGGAGTTATGGTTTGGGGTGCTATAGCTTATGGTTCCAGGTCACCTTTAATTTTCATCAGAGGTAACATGAACGCGCAGCGTTATATCCACGAAGTTCTAGAACCCCATCTTTTACCCTATCTTGACACCCTGGCAGATCCAACTTTCCAACAAGATAATGCCCAACCACATGTTGCAAGAGTCACAACAGACTTCTTTCAACATAATGATGTCACATTGTTACCATGGCCACCAAGATCTCCCGACTTATCCCCAATTGAGCACGTGTGGGATATGATGGGTAGGAGATTGCTCAATTTGCAACGTCCTCCTCAGACTCTAGAAGCACTTCGAGAGGAGTTGGTGGTTGCCTGGAATGAGATACCACAGGAGGACATTGACCACCTGATCAGAAGCATGCCTTGGCGCGTTGGAGAATGCGTAGCACATCAGGGTGCATCCACACATTATTAAAGGTCAAAGGGCTTTAAAGCAGTGCAATCATTTTGAATCTTTTATCATTTACTTATTATGCTTCATTAAGTACTTATACAAAATTTTATTAAAATAAAACAATTTAAACTGGGTGTTCGGATTTATATGTCACTTAGTATATATTGCCTCTATGAAAAAACGCTCATTGGCTTTTGAGGATGATGTGATTGAAATTGAAAAAAATTACAACGACGAGATCCAGACTTACAAGCGTCAAATACAAAATATAGAGCAACAACTAGCATATTTATCCTCAAAAAACAGACTACAGGAACTGACAACCTCACTTCTGATGGAAGAGCCTCCTGTTGCGAATGATATTAGGGCCACAAGTTTCCAAATGAAGACAAACGATATGTGTAAAAGCCAGCCGATAGAACATGAATTCGACGAACATCAAACAGCATCGACTTTTGCCCACTGTGCATCTATCGTTTCCCCTATACCCCAGTTAGACGGCGAAGTAGCAGCAGAATCTGCAATTCGTTGATGCACCAATAATCGATATAGTACCATCAGGTGGATCACCGACGCACAATTCAAGAGTTAACCAACACCAGAGAAAGGTATATTTCTATTTAGAATTATACATATATATGAGGAACTATCATGATGTTGTCCTACACTATGTTTCTTCAAAGCTATTCAATAAGATGATCAAAATTTGATGGCCAAGCTGTACCTATATTTTGTCTAGGTACCTGGAATTATAGGCTGGATTGATTGCACTCACATAGGTATTGTGTGCCCAATCGAAAATGAACATATATATATCAAAAGGAAACATTACCATTCTCTCAATGTGCTGATGGTAAGCTACCCTTACATCCATAAATGCATGAAATAATTTTAATTTCTCATATAAAGAAACTTTCAATGCACAAAGCGTCAACCCCTAATCAAATTTTCTCTGACTCTGCATAGATTACAACTGAAATTTTGCACCAAAGTCAACCTGCATACTTGTTTATTGCAGATACGTGATGAAAATTTGAAAATAATGAACGTAAACAGTCGCTTTCCTGGCAGCACCCATGATTTTTATATGGAGTCAGTCACGAGATGAGGGATTTCTGAGAACATTGTCTGAAGAATATATGGGCAGCTTCTATTTACTAGGTGAAATATGTCGCTATATGTTGTACCCTTGGATCTACTAAAAGATAGTATTTTCTATTAAGGTGACTCTGGATACCCTCTACGCCTCTGGTTGATAACCCCTTACCTACCAGAACCACCTCAAGACACTCCAGAATCAAGGTTCAATAAAAAAATTAAGCATATCCGGGTTTCTATAGAATAATGCTTTGGATTATTAAAAAACAGAGTTAGGTTTCTACTGAAAGACAGAGTTTTACATTATGCACCAGAAACTTGTGCAAAAATCGTAAACAGTTGTGCAGTTTTGCACAACTTATGCTTAGAAAACAATATTCCAGTATATAATGATCAGGAAGATGTTGGTGATGGTGACAACGTCAGTGACGCCTTGGCAGAAGAGAGGGGCAACTTGCCACATAATATTTTTTTGGAGAGTGGTCGACACATACGAAATTTCCTAGCGAGAACTTATTTTTGAAATAAATTAATGGATACATTATAGTATATTTATCACAATAAAAGAGTAGTCTAGAACAAAGATAACTTTATTTTTAACTATATCACACATCTCATCACAACAAAACCTTATACTCTGAAAATAAAAATACACACAAAAACAAACAAACAAAAAAAGCTATGATGCATATTTTTTAGCACTTGTTTCTGAACTACAAGCAATTCTTTCTAAAACTTCAATTTTTTTTATAATAATTTTCCTTTATTTGATTTAGTTGCAGTTGTGCTGCAACTAAATCGTTCGCGGCATGGACTGATGATGGTATTGAATTTGTCTGCCTACACCTTTTAGTGCCACGTGGTGGTCTCACGCGTTTAAGGTTCTTTTTTTTAATATTATTTGGACACAGGTTTTCCTTGTCATCATTATCATGTACAGGAGAACTTTTGCATACAGGCACTTCGCCAACCTCAGCTTCTTTCGGTAAGGTGTATAATAATCCTAATTCTGGCACTTGGAGCCCTTCAATTAAGATTTCTCCCCCTAGAATACAAAAGAGCTGTTATATTTACTGAAAGTAGTGGAGATACTACAATGGAACAAGATAGGCACAACTATGTAGATCAGTTACATTGTTTAAGTGAATAATAAATCTCATCAACACGTAAATCACAGTAGATCCATACTTTGATTATCAATATCAAGAAAAAACTGTCATCTAATAAAAACATTTAACGAATGACTAAAATATTAGTCACCCATATAAGAATTATGACCATACCCATTATTTCCAAGACTTTGTCATCAATTTCATTCAGGCTCTCTGCCGAGCTTGGTCCACCTCCGGTCTGGCTAGCTTCCTTTTTGCTCTGGTTTTCATATCTGTCCAGGTCTAGAAAAGGAAAACTGGAGTATTAAAAACCGACCCTCTTCATATACAACAAATATTCTGAGTAACAATCAAACTGACTCGATGAGTATCTATTGCCGTGTTTTAACGATAGATCCTAGTATTCTAGTGAATTCGTTATTACAACAGAAGTACCATTCCTAACTATGGATGTATGTCCTTCAATAGTATATTAATTCAATACAAAGTTGCAAATATGTTACATGTACCTTTCTCCATTCAGTCCACTGCTTAGTGGCCCCAGGAATTTTATTTAACTTTTCGCTCAACTCCACCCATAACTTGCGGTCGTCTGCACTGGTGTATTGGTTTGTTTGTTTTTGAACTATCTGCCCAGGCAGATCAGCGGCTCAAGGACATCGAAAATTATATGTACAAAGGCGCTACGAGTGATGGAAACCCATCGTGCAGCAAATACTTTTCGGACAGTGATACTGTCAGTGCGCATGATACTGATAGTAGTAACGAGGGCAGCAGTGATAGTCAGATATAGGGGAAAGGTCCCTATATTGGACCACCTAACAATAATCGCGTGTAAAATCGAAATACGTCACTTAATTCACTTAATAAAAATTGATGTAATTCTTGGGACTATTATCAAACTTTTACTTCTGTAGAAATAATTCTAGGTTTATTAGTCTTATAAAAAATTAAAAAAAGAAAATGACGTCATTTGGTCCAATTTAAGATACCGGTCTCCTAATTTGAACCACCGGTACCCTAAATTGAACCGTGAATCATTTTCTATTATTTGAAAAGAGAACATTTATTAAAATCATCCAAAGCTCGTACAAAAAATATAAACAGTTTTTTAAACACCAGTCACAAAAATCAAACGTTATTCTGAACACTGAAAACAACTATGTAGGAAAAGTGAGTTGTTTTAATGACAAGTTGATAATACTAAAAGAACTGAAACATTTTAATTTAAATGAAACTTCCTAAAACAGGAACATATAATTAGTCGCTATCTGATGATGATTCACAGTTGATACATTCATAGAAATTAACATTTTTTCCACTGATACATTTAAGATGCGACCATTTTTTACAAATCCTACATTGAATCCATTCTTCGCCTGGATTCGATTTAGAATATGGAAATAAACAAACAAGGCATAGACAATCTTCGTCCTCCGATTCAGATTCGCTTGACGTTCCATGTTGTAGACTTCGTCTCTTTGTAATAGGTCTCTTGTTATCGAGCTTGGACGACTTTCCTTTACTGGTAGCTTTTGCAGAAGAAAATACATTTCTGGTGGCTGAAGAAGCATCAATTTTTTTGAGTTGTTTTTTTTCAAGATCGTTCTTGTATGGACTATCTGTAATAATTGTAGTAGAAGACAAGGCCAGGTTACGCGATTTTCTTTTCAAAATGGGCACAGGTGATACTTCGGAAACAGATTTCCTTTTGGGCAGCTCACTACTTGATTTACCTTTTGTGTTTAGCAAACAGGATGTTGAAGTGGATGCAAGTGGATTGGAATAATCAATGTTAGTCAACTGTGAAGCGCTCTGAATCACTTCTTCGGTTATCTCCGAGTTTACTTGATTTTTAAACGAAGTGGTACTACTAGTACTGGTAGATAGACAAACGTATTCGCTATCATCAAACACATTTGGGTCCAACGGCCATATTCCACATTTGGCAAATCCACTTAGAGCATTCCCAACAGATGCTGCTTTAGCATATGCTTCCCCAAGAAGCGCCGATACCTGAAACTGGGTTATATTTTGGCTTGGATTTGTACGAAGCCATTTATCAGCTGCTTGATTGTAATACGAGTTTAGGGGCTTGAAAAAAGAGACGTCACAGGGTTGCAGTCGATGTGTTGTGTGAGATGGTAGGGACAGCATTACAATTCCATGCTTTCTGGCAAGTAAAATGGCCTCTAGGTTTTTTGTGTGAGTGGTGTGCCCATCCAGTATTAAGAGAACTTTCCTATCAGTAGATGGTTTCGCAAAACTAATAAAATGTTGCAACCATTTAACAAACAGCTCACTAGTTATCCAACCTGACTCTGAACATGCAAATTCTGTTCCTGGAGGGGCGCCTGCCTTCAGTTCATCTTTAAATCTAATGCGCTTGAAAATAAGCATTGGCGGTACGTAATTGCCAGCAGCGTTCAAACAACAGACACATGTCGTATTTACACCTCGCTCTCCGCTCGTAAGTGCTCCTATTTGATGTTTTCCTTTCTGTGCAATAATTTTTTGAGGCCTCTGAACCGTAGAGAGGCCAGTCTCGTCTACATTATAAATGCAAGATGGACTGAAATTGTACTCATTATAGAGAGAAGTAAGGCAATCAAAAAAAGCCTTGACTTTTTCTTTGTTGAAACCTGTAGCCCGCGCTGCTGAAGTAGGCTCTGGTTGTCGAAGAGATAGCTCTTTATGCCTGGACATAAAGCAGTAATACCATTTCTTGCCGGCTTTACCGTTTTTAAATCTATGTAAAATCCCATTAGCTTCGGCGACATCATAGGCAAGTTTTCGCAAATCATTGCGAGTGATTCCAAACAAGCTTCTTTCTAGCTCCAATACATGGTTAACTATTTCATTTTCAATTTCTAGGGGAAGATCCGTAGAACGTCCGAATTTTTTTTCGCATCCATGCACATTTTTGTTTGTATCGTCAATTCTACGTTTCAGAGTAGCTTTAGGAACTTTATATCTCCTAGCGACTTCATTTAAACCGGCAACATTATTTTCATAGGCATTAAGGGCTTCTTGCATGCTCGTCTCGCTCCACTTTCCATACTTTCCCCGTTGAGACATAGTATTCAACTGAAAAAAAAAGGTTGCTTAAATTGGACCGGTTCAAATTAAGAAACTTCATGTGGTCCAATTTAGGAAATCATAACCTCATTTCAATTTTTGGCTCTAAAAAAGTTGTTTTCACTTAAAATCAAATTAACTGCTTAATGACTGTTCAGGAAAATGATGGCTAAATATATATAAACTGACGGATATACAAAACAACTTACCAGTTAAAAACTACAGCTTAAGAAATTCACTTGAAAAATTACATCAGCCGGCATAAAACTTAACAACATGTGATACCTTCGATATTACTAGCAACACAGGTTTCTTTTTCCACATACAGACTGGACTACGCGTAAGCTATGATTGATAGGCCATAGATGGCGCCTCGAATTACCGTTTGTGAATTACAGATGTGGTCCAATTTAAGAGACGGTCCAACTTAGGGACCTTTCCCCTACCGTGTATTTCTAAAAGAATGTGCCGTCTGTTAGTGCTCAACAGATTTGCATTAATGGTTATAATGGACGGTCCTTGAAAAAACAGCCGAACTGAGTAAAGTGCCATATCCTACAATCTGCAAAATTATTCCTAACGGTGTCAAACCAAGAAAAATTGATAGGGGAACATCTATACCTTTAAGTACAGCAACAACTGTAAAAGTAAGGAAAATATGATCATTATAAACGTAATAAAATTCCCACAACAGAGATTTGATTGAAAGAGGCGAGAGTTGTTCCCTGCGGACATTTCAGAAATTTGGAACCTTCACGTTACTTCAACTACTTGATTCAGTCATCTCTCATCTCATCCAGACTTGCAAGAGAAAATGTTTGAAAATTTTCAGATCCGTCTCTGCCCTCATGGCTCCGGTTCTTTGTTTTATAGCCGTTTTATGACTATCGGCAAAAAATGTAAACGAATCTAAAAGCCTTGCCGTCTACTACACCTTGACTATATTGAGCAATCAGCAACCCTGTTCCGGAGTACTGTACAAAATAAAGAGATCATTAGAGGTACATGCTTTGTTAACCGAAACCAACAAAACTACGTTACACACTCTATTAATAAAAACATCATTAAATTAATTAGGTCGGCCTATTTCCTGCCCTTTCTCTCCTAATGATGGGCAGATAATTTGATTATATACGAGGACATCGTTAACTCATATTTTTTTCTATCACTACTACCAGGGGTGGGTGCGAATGAACTACGCCTTTTATTTTCCACGCCTACTGGCGATGAAGTATTGTAATCGCGAAAAATTTCGAAAATGGGATACGTCTTTTGGATGTTATTGACATGTACATCACGAAAAACATGTCACTCATGTCGATCTGACTATCTGTCTGTCGATGTGTCTGCAGATCCTTGGCCGGTCTATCACTTGGAAAGTATTGCTCGGATGTGCTTGAAATTTTTAAACAATGTTACAAGACAAGAATGAACATGATTTGAAAATATTTCAAAAATCGGCCCAGTGGCGGCAAGGAAAAACGATTATAATAAAATTTTCTCAAACTTCGTTTATTGCCGTTTTAAATGTTCCTTATCATTGTCTGAAAACTTTTCGTATGAGTTGAAAATTGGGGTAAGCGGTAAGAAGACTCTCATTTTTTATTCGGTAATATAATTCGCTTCCAATTCCGCTAATTCTACTTACATATTAGTACATATCATCAAGTGTATGGGCCTGTTTAGCTCACTTGATCCATTTAATTCTTTTTTTTTGTGTCTTATACATGCTCGTAGTTGACTTTTTTCTTATAGTAACAATCCTTTATGAACTGATGACACCCTTGTGTTTGAAGTGCAGAGTCAACCTACTTCACGGCATTTTTATCATTCAAACTGTAATTTATTACAACCCTTGCAACTAATTTACGACAAGTTTATGACTATGTCGACTGGACTGTCGTGTTTCCCGCTGTTGCTGACTCATCGAAGACTCTGCCTTCAGCTCTTGAATCGACGAATTCCAGAACCCTTCCAAGCAGAACTCTAGCCTACATCGAATCTTGTCAGATGGCGTTCTATGTTTCTCGAAGGGACGTGTGTAATTCTGATTTCTCAAACGAGGGTGTCTCTTTGGTGCTTAGATTTTCAGTTACAGTATATACACTACCGTTCAAAAGTATTTGAACACCTACATAAAATCATAACAAACAAAAACTATTCAGTATTTATTTTTATTTATTTATTGAAAACCATCACCAAGGAAGTCAAGCATCATTGAAAGATCATTGAAATCAAAATTTTGCTCACACTATTATTGGGATCTCGTCATTAGCCATAATAGGAATTTCTTTGCCTTTAATATATGGTTATGTTTTTGTATAGGAATTCCCCGATATCATTAAATATTTATTAAATATTTTTAAAAAATGTTTGTTAAATATTTGTAGCGAAAGGTTTTTTAATATTTAATAAAGACATTTCTTATATATTCATGAAAT